CGGCGGTGGCGGGCAGCCCAGCAGCTGGTCCTGGCGCGGGGAGTCACAAGTCACGACCGGGACCATGTCCTGGCCCGCGCCTGCCGCCGCCCCTGCTGCCACGTCCGCCTCCACCTCTGCCTGAATATCCACCACTGTTTCATCATCCACCCCGACGTCCGCCGTGAGGTCCAGCGTCACGCCTGCCGGCACGGCCGCCGCCGCGGCCGGCAGCGGCAGCGGCGGCCAGAGCAGCTGTCCCGGGATGCCCGGCGCCTCGGTCTGCGTCTGGCAGCTGGCCAGTGCGCGGCCCAGCGCCTCGGCGTCGGGCCGCGGCGGCAGCGCCCACAGCAGCTGCACGGCCGGCGCGCCGCTCGGCGCACGCAGCTGCCAGAGCCGCGGCGTCGCCTCCGTCTGCGAGGCACGGGCGGTGGGCGGCGACGGTGGCGCGCACTGCGAGCCGGCCGAGCGGCGGCACCGAGGGCCGCCGCTCGTCAGCCGCGTCTGCGTGCCGCTGCAGCGGCCGCCGCGCGCCGCGCGCCGGCCAACCGTCTGCGTGCTGGCCTCGCGCGTGCTGCAGGCGGCGCGCGCCGGCACGCTGGCCAGCGCGATCGACGCCAGCAGGTGCAGGTGAAGCGCGTCGCACGGCTTTGGCGCCAACGGGCGCAGACCGGCCGGACGGCCGTCCGGCTGCTCGGCGGTCCAGCGGCTGCGGACAGCGGCAGCCGGTTATTCGGGACCCTGAAGCCTGCGACGCTGGGCCGCAGCGGCCGCCAGCCAGTGCAGCGGGCAATGCAGTGAGCAACTGACGACGACAGCGTGGACGGGCATGGGGTCGTTATCAGGCGTACAAAACATGGGGAAGGCGCATTCAGCGATGGACGTATCAGTTTTTTCACACTCACGTCGTCATCGAAATCAGGTAATGCAGGAACTGTCTGCCGCGCATCAGCTATTCTCGCCTCGCTTATAAAAGTCAGTCGCAATCCATATCAAAAGCGGATGGTGAGCCAGGAGCCAGCTTTGGGACGCTTTTCAAACTAAGTGCCAACCAAACGTGCGGGTCTGAAAAGTATAACAAATGTCATTTCGCAAGCTGCAACAAGTCCAAGCTCATCAGATCTTCACAACACAGATAACACTCATGGCAAACGAAACAAAACCACATCCTAAGACTCCCCACAGACCACATCAAGTGCAGCCACACTCGGCTCCACTCAGCGAGCGAGCGCCCGTGCGCGCACTTACCCGGACGTGGCCACGGGCGTGTGGCCATGGCGCGCCGCGTGTCGGCGCAGCGTCACCAGGTGCGCGAACTGGGCGCCGCAGCCGCAGGCGTGCTCGGCGGCCGCAGCTGCGACCGGTGCGCGCGCAGCAGCGGCTCGCTGGCGAACGAGGCCACCCGGCACAGCGGGCAGAGGAGTGGGCGCGGCGCGTGCACCTTCAGGTAGTGCTGCGCGGGACGGGCCGGGGTCACGGTCGAAGACGACAGGATTTCGACAATGACAAAAAGCGCCTGTCGATCTTTGGCATTGTGAACATACACGGTTTTTTCGCTCTCCTCTTAATGACACATATATCAGCGTTGTTCTTTCCGGTGCCACTCTGAAGAAGTGTTTGTTTTATGGTAGATGGCGTGACATGCCGAGCTCTGGACGTCAGTCCACTTACAACTGGGCCTCAGAGGCGTGGCTACAGCAGCGCCCCGCCTCGCCTCACCGAGCCCTCGACCGCGCATCGGCGCTAACCTGCAGCGCGTCACAGCACGTATCCCCCCCCCCCCCCTTCTCCCTCTATCTCTCTCATTTGCCAACAAACCTGTTTGAGCCGCTTGAGCGTGGCGAACTATCTGTTTTTGCGCGCGCTGCTTTGTGCCCCATGCAGACCGGCTCGGGGCAGACGTAGACGGCGGGCGCGGCGGGCGCCACCCGCGCGATCGGCTGGCGCCGGTGCAGCCGCGTCACGTGGAAGCGCAGCGCCGACGAGTGCGGGAACACGCGGCCGCAGCCGGGCTCCGGGCACGGCAGGTCGCGCCTAACGCGGCACAGCTCCTCGGCGCTCGGTCGGATCACCCGCCGCGCCTCGGCCGGCGCCGACATGGGCCCGCAAGGGGGCGGAGTGGGCTGGGCACAGCTGACAGGTCACAGCAGAACCATCCAGCTGCAGGGCATGGCCATCTGCTGCAATCAGACAAGAGGGCAGAAGGTCAGAGGTCAAGGGCCTGACATGTCATCACCAATGGATCCATTGATGTCTAGGTTTGACACACATACCAGTTCTTCAGCTTTTAATGAAAGTGAGTCCATTAATGTTCACAAATTCTAAGGTGAGTGATACAGTGAGCACCTTTTACAAGCTTCTACAAACTTTTACAAATTTATTTTTTTAAAACAAAACAAAACAAATTACAAACTTTTACAAGCTTTTACATGCTTTCACAAGCATACAATTCTTGCAATCCTGCTAACAACCATGTTTTAACCAGTTCACAATGCAATTACAGCCTCACCCATTCAAACCTGGGAACTGTTTGACACATCTGCTGGATTCCCACCAATTGACAAAGACAAAGGCCAACATGCAGTGGCATCATTGATTTGGGTGGGGCATTTGCTATGTCCATCACTCAGCCATTTTATGCCATTTCATGCAAGCTACAACTACAATGCACAGTGTGAGCCCCAACTGGTTTGACAGACACCCCAATGACCAAATGTGCATGGTATGGGGCACCTCTCAGATTCCTTAACCCACTCCATTTGTGTATATCACAGAACACAAACAGACCCTATTCATCAACCTTGTTCTATTCAGTATTTTCAGGAACATAATCCTGACCATCTTTGACATGGAATTCCACATTGTGGTTTGTCATCAACTGCTGGTGATATCAAACTTCTAAACTTCATTTGTTATACCAGTTTGCTAGCCTTAACATGCGCCCGGGCGGCCAGCTAGATACCCTTCGCTCATGTGGGAGGGGGGGGGGGGGGGGGTCAGTTTGACTCTCCCTGAGATATCAGGAACTAAGAAAGCTAGAGACACTAAATTTGCAGGGTGTCTTGATCTGTACATGAGCTCACTTAGGTCAAAGTTTGAGCTTCCTAGGACATGACATTCAGGTCAAATAAGGTCAAACAAGGTCAAATTCCAGGTTGGTCTCCAAAGTGCCCCCAGAGCCTAGGCAACTGTTTCTAACAAAAAGGTCAAAACCCATTTGAGGTCAGTGACCTTTTTTACCTTTAGAAGGTTATGGTGACCAAAATCATACAAGACTGCTTTGAGTTTTGCATTTGAATAAGCACCAAAGATTACCCCAGGCAGCATGTTCCTAAAAAAATGTTGACCTGGGTTATCTTAGGTCAATGACCTTTTCTGACCTCTAAGAAGTCAATGGAAAATACATCATGTGGTTCATGCTGTCAATAAATTTGAAATGAGCACTACAAACTATCCCATACAGCAAGCTCTAGAATAATAAATCAGCTTGGTTGTGATCTTGGTCAGACCTTCATACCTGTCCTTAGGTCAGCATAATTTGCTCATTCAATATTTTTGGTGGCTAAGAAGGCATCTCAGAGATGTATGGCTTTGTCGAACACTGTTATTGTATCAGATTGGATGATTCCCCAGAAACTGCCTTTACTGAAACCATGGCCTAACTTTGACCTGCCATAGGTCAGCAATCTTATAAGGTATATCTAAATTTTTGATGTCAAGCAATCTGCTATTCAACTGTCTACAGCTATGCAAATTTTGGTATGTCTATGCCTCATCATTCAGAAACCATTCTGGAAAAACCTTTGGGGGGTCAATTTGACCACCTTCACCTGAGAGCATGTTAAATCCTGGCAGAGGATACCTTGCCACATTTAATTGTTATGTCCGCAATTCCCTCAACATGAATCCAACCAACACAACCTTCTTTCTGCTTGGCACATCTGAGTTCTTCAAACTGACCATACCCTGGAATGTACATGCCACATGATTTCTTTCATCATCTGTGAAGATGCTGAGTGCCACAAGTGACAATGATTTATCCTGAGAAGAGCACATTTCACAAGTAGCCAACAAGTGTGACTACATGCCTCCATGTCCAACAACACTTTGCTCTCCCCACATTGTTTGTCTGGGATGAGACCACAGTATACCACCTCAATTGGCTATAGACAGTCAACAACTCAGGCTAGGATCATCATGGGGGACTGCCTCATGACCTCACCTTGATCTTGGAGGTGTTTGAGTAGCATTAAAGGAGGAAGCTGGTCACATTTCAGGATTATGTCAGCATCTACAGGCCTCTGACCAACCAGCAGGCTTCAAAGGCAATCTGCATTTTTGGTGCTAAGGGACTAAGCTCCTGATCTAAGTTCCAGTTTCTGAACTAGGGTGATGCATACCTCAGTAGTTTGAAGAAACTGCACAGCATCTACCAAAATTGGCAATATTCTATGACAACTGTGCTGATGAGCAAAGATGTGTGCCAATTGTTCCTACAAACTTAATCAACAACAAAATAGGATAATGCTTACAAGTGCGTTATGAGATGATGCCGTATAGCCACGGCTATCGCATGCCGCGACGTCTTGTAGTTACGCTCCAAAGAGGCGGTTCAAATGCGGCATATCCACGAGCGTCTCACCCCGCTAAAAATAATTTGCGATTTAATCATTCCGCAAAACTTACTCCGTACATATAATACAACCAAAGTCGCATACACGTACAACAGTGCTACGCAAAACGTCACGATAACCCCGTATTTGTCGCATACAAAATACACATCGTTAGAGTTGCGAACTGTAAAGACAAACTGACTTTGGGTGAATGGAATGAATATTAAACGCAAATGTAGTAATTTCATACAAGACAAGTCTCGGTTTGCTATCGAAGTATTTTATTCTCTCATATTTAGACGAAAATTGTGATTTTTTTAAGTTTTCAGAAAATAAGCGGCATTAGTTTCCATGTTTTGTGCACGTTTTGTGCATCTCTACCCAAAATGGTAAGCGTCCGCGGAGCGCGCGTGCTGTGGTGCCGCGATGGACGCGGACCTGGAAATAGACGGGAAGCCACTATCGGCACTGCGTGTGATAGATTTAAAGGATGAGCTAGACAAAAGGAACTTGTCCAAGTCTGGCACAAAGAAAGAATTGCTGGAGCGACTTCGCGCGGTAAGATATTGGAAAGTTTTGGGATTGGTGGCGTTAGTGGCGCTTTGTACATGCGGACTTTGATGCGAAAATTGAGTAGAAAAGCTGTATTTCTATGTCTCAACATTCAATTTTCATTATTTCCACAACTTAGTGACAGCCAATAGCTCCAATGTTGCGTAAACTGAGGTCAGTCCACGAAAATTTTGAAAGCTAGTGTTTGAACTCGGTATACGGGTATCAGAAACATTCCTAATCGTGTGTGGAGTGGTCATGTGGCCATTGCTGTCAGAGTATTCAGAGATTCAAACAGTTTTATGTGTTTTGGTGCATTAGAAGCACATATATTTACATCTCTGATATAAAAGTTGCTGGAAGCTGGACAGTTGACTGCTGGGCCAGGCTGCTTCAGGTCAAAATTGTAGCATCCATTGTAGCACTATTCGGACGTGCTGTTTGTGTGGCATCTCTTGCAATGGATGTTCTGGGGATGATTTAACTTGGACATTGTACAGATTTTGTCAAAGACCACTGGTTGTAATGTGCAGCTTGTTTACACTCAAATTGTAATGTCAGTCTCATGTGCTCAAAATGTTTACAGTTTGAATGGTCCCTAGATCTTCACTTACAACCATAGTTGTGGACATTGTCTTGTCATCATGAAATTGGCTCATGGCCCTAAGACCTTTCAACTGACATAATGCATTGTGTTTTGCAGCATGTCCATTTGGAGAGAGAGCGAGAAAGAAGTGCTAGCAGTGAAGAAGACCAGGCACCCAACATCAGTGTAAGTTCATCACAGTAATATGTGCACAAACCCACATCATTGATAAAGTCACTGGAGTTGGAGCAACATGTGGGCTGGAGTAAAATGATCATGCAAATATTACATGCTTTCTCCTATCTTATCATTATCATTGGGATACTGTCATTGCCTCTTGCTGCCTAGCGGCCCTTTACCATGAAGATTTTATTCACTGTCACCCACAATCTTTGTCACATAAAACCCTTGCTGGATGTGCAGAATCCTTGGTCAGGGTGTACTTTCCTACCTCATGTTACAAAAGAGCATTGTACATCAATTGTTGTTTTTAAGGCAGAACATATTATAATTAATTTAAAACAGGTCATTTATACTCTTACCTTGGAACTTAACTAATTACGATGCCGATCATCTGACCTCCGCAAACACAGCACCCGTGATACTGATGCCATTGCTGTGTGTGGTCACAACATTACTAACATTACTGCGCATCAGGCAGCATCAAGAACCATAAAAATTTAGGGGGCCAAGGTAACAAGAATCCATGAAATTTGATCATCTACATCAAGGGGATGATGGGTTGCAGGGGGGATTGTAGTTGGATAGGATGCTAGCCCCTCCCCAACTTTAGGAAGAAGCTTGGTCAAAATCAGGGAGAACATAGTTTGCAACATTTACTTGGGATGAAAGAGTTCTCTGCCCGCCTGCTCCACAAAGTTATGTACAAAACTACACCTGGGATGTCAGGCTGCTTCGTGATCAGGCCTTGGAGGCCAATGCAGCAGGGGCAGAGGAATTATTTCCTCAAAGAGTAATCCAGCTGTACAAAGTTGGTATCATTACATCTACTCACCAGCTATGAGTCTGATACCATATTTTTCTCAGTGCATGACACTGAGGTGAATTTATGTATTGCCTTTATCCTTCCTACCAACCAGTTGCGCTATCAGTGCTCCGCATGACTGAGATAAATTATGCATTGCCTCTATCTATACCACCAACCAGTCGCGCTATCACTGCTCCACACCCAGCTCTTGCAAACAAGGTCAGAAGGCTACATAAATGGTATGCACTAAATAGCAGTCTTCGAAGACTGAGCCACTGTAATTTATTTATTGGTTTGTATATTGCGTTCTCAGGACCTTAATGACGTTCTAAAAAGATTTATTGGCAAGACCCCACTCAAAGAAAAGGCAAATCTTAAAAAGCAAATAATCATCTAAATACAAAGCCAAAAGGTCTGCTCAACAGAGAACAAGAAACCCTGCTTCAGCTTTATGGTGACATCATGATGCTGTGGCGATGCTCTGTAGATCAAGAGGAAAAATTCATGCTTTTTCATTCACTTTAATCATGTATTCCGCGCGGATTTCTTGGCAAAGAATATGCCTTTTCTCCAATGCTAATTCCTCCGCAAGAGCCGGAGACTCGCGGAGCGTTGGTTTTCCGCGTGCCCAGGCGAGCGTCTGGGATGGTGTTGGACGCCACCATTTACCTTCTATTCAATGTCAATTTTTGATAGCTTCAAAAGCAGTTTTAATAAGGGTGCTTTTTGAAAAGAATTGTAAATTTGTTCATCAATATATGATTAATTCACCCTATATTTATGCTAGTGTGACGTCATATACTTAAGTAACAATTTGTAGTGTTACGATGATTTTTACGTACAATTGAGAAACGTTGAAGCGTGACGCTTTGAGTGCGGGCTCGGACCCGGCGTCTGAGGGCGTCGGTGTCGTTGGACGGTAGGTGGGTTTAACGTGTGCTGGTGAGCAGCAGCAGACCTGGACACTAAGTGCATTTAGAGGAAATATTGTGTGATATGGTAGAGAGATTCGGCTGTAACCCGCGAACAGTGTCCCTCATTTAATCGTGTGAGAGTGGCACGCGATGCTGTCGAGGTTTCAGTAACAGCTTGTCTTCATCTGACGTCGCCCACGGAGAACAATTTTTACATCCATTCCAGTGTATATTTGTGAAGAACAAAATGTATTGGGGCTTAAAATACCAAGAAGCACCCAAGTTTCAGACACTGGTGTAGTATGCTGAAAACAATATTACTGACAGGCTTCATGGTTAAAAGAGTTGTCCCTTCTTCTAACGCTTTTCATTCAAACCTAGATTAGATTTATTCTGAAGGGTTTGCATAGGTGGCTTTTGGTTTAGTTTAGTTGCTAGGCATCATTGTCAGGTTTGCTATATGTTCCCTGAACCCCCCACCTAACTTGTGCCATCCAGTTCCTGGAGACTGGCCAACCCTGCCTGCAAAACAATGTGCATGCTCTGGGATTTGTACCCAGTGCTGCTGGATTGATGTTTGCAATGCACTTATTGGCCAGTATCATTGGGGTTGAATGATATGAGAACCCGAAGCACTTTTTAGGGGATGAAGATATCCAAATATGAGGTCATTAGCTCATAAAATCAACACAGCATGATATTAATGTGCAGTAAATTGCATGAGAGCTGGAAAACACTTTTTGGGAGGGAAAGTTATTCAAAAATGAGATCGTTAGCTGGCAAATTCTACAAAAAATACGTGCAGTGTTTTTTTTTAAGTGTTTTGGCAGTAAATCATCCAGCATTGGTCGGGGGGACAGGATCCACATTACACCACCTTTCACTGGTTTTCATTCCACTGCTCTAGAGCAAATCTAAGGCCTTAGAGACGGGCAGCGTCGGTTAGCAGCGCACCAGTAGCGCTCGTGCACATTGAGTCAGGGACGGTGAGGACGCGAGAGCCCACTTGATCCTGTTTAACGTGGCCTGGTGATCAGGAGTTCAGCGAGATGCCAGTAATGGTCTGAGCGGGTCCTTGGGCACGTTCAGCCGTCGTGGAGATCACCGCCGGGAAATCAGCCGACTGAATGACAGGCCCATGAGCCACCGGAGAGTGGGCACGTCCGGTACTGGGAACCCAGCAGAAGCTTACAGCTGTCATGGGCCCGCTGTCTTCCCTTCCCGGGACGCGCTGTAGCTGCAGTGGCTGACCCTGTCGGAGGCGATGATGAGTGTGTCCGCCCGCAATGTGATGTGACGCCGGGGGTGGTGCTCGATGGGCGGCCGCACCTGCTCGGCTTGGCCCAGAAAGCTGGCGTCTGAGTCGAAAACATTCATCAGTCAACTTGCTCACGTATTCATCGCCAGCAGTTGCTTCATTGTCTCGTCACTCTCAAACCCCGGTTGAAACCAGGCCCCATGGGTGACCACAGAAAATTAAGTATTCCCAAGGTGTTCAGAATGTTGTCGGAATCAGAGGTACGCGGTTCGATTCCCCGCAGTGCCCGCTGTTCCAAACAGAGTGAGAAACAGGCGACGCCATAGCGACGCCTCAACAGCTGACTACGTCGGAAAGCTCCAGTCATGATAAATTTACTTGTAATGTAATTTCCCTGAATAACTGTGAACGAAATTCAATTGGGATCCAAAACGACCATGAATTGTAATGTAGTGAACGTCGCACGCAATTCGTGGAGAGTCCATGTCCATTCGCGGAATGACATCTGGTTCTACTTAAAGTTAAAATGACTCCATCGCCGCTCTGAAGTGTTGACTGGGTTATTTGGGCTCGAAAATAGATTAACTGGGTTTAAATCCAGGTTCAAGGGGTTACCAGAGCATGCGAGCATGCCTTATAGATATGCTCCGAAGGTGGCATAGTCCCTGCATTATGGCTTTGCTACTTCAGTGTGACTGGTATGTGTCACTTATTTTTTATACCTGGCATGCGCAGCTCTTGTCACGGCAATGCGATCTCAAACGCGGAAAGAATTGGTGTCGCGCTTTGTGAAATCGTCCGGTAGGAATCCTTCAGGACGTCACATAGAAAAGCTCATTCTCGGCCGTGCTGCGAATACACCCTAGTCTGAATGCTGCTACTTATTGTCTCTTGGTGTATTTGCTGATCTGTTCTGTTGAAATAGTTATGCCCATTTAGCTGATGTACCTCGAAGTAATGCGATGTTACGTTGAAGTGTGTACCTGAAGTTAATGCCGGATATCCTGATGGACAACGTCGGTAACTGCGTCTGTCTCATTCCAGTTGAGGAATGAGGGAGCCTTGGCTGGCAATGACTTCATCAAGCAATACCTAGAGAAGCAGCAGGCGCAGCTCATCCAACAGCGTGAGGCCCGCCGTAAGGTGGAAGGTGGGGCTGTCAGGCTTTTAATCAACCGGGCCGTGCCGCACTTACGACATGCATGCGGACGCACTGGGGACGACCAAGGCTGACGGCTTGCGGGGGTGCTTTCGCTTCACATTTGCATGATGTGCATTCGTGTTTCAAGGCGTTGCCGTGGAGTTAGACCGGCGGGGTTCTAGCGAGTTACCACGTGTGGCTGGGGTGTCTTAGATGCATCCCCTGAGCGAGACTTCTTGGGCGTTGTGTTGTGTTTCGTGGTTGGAAACGAACAGAGTATCACATTTTCGACTTCTTCGCCTGCATGCCACAATGGTCTTCGCCGTTCTAAACCAGGTCATCGGATGCCTGGGCCGTCCTCACTAGGTTCCATGAATTCTACCCACTGAATGGAAGTAGTTGACAAGTGTGATTGGAATGGACTAACAGAAGCTAGACAGGTGATCTAATTGTGGAAGTAATTTTAAGCGTTCTTTACTCATTGCTCGCCATGTCTGGCTGGGTGACGGTATTGACAGTGTGCGTGTCGGCCAGGTGACGGACAGCGCGGGTCCCAGTCGGAGAGCGCCGACAGCCAGGAGGAAGAGGAGGTGGACACGGGCCCGCGAGCGGCGCCCCACCAGAGGTGAGCACGCACTGCCGGCTGGCGCGCCGATGCTGGCAGAAGGCTGCAAGGCGGTGTGATGTCTGAAGGTGGCGTTGCCACTATTCGCTTTGCTGGATACAGTTTGTGTGTGCTGTGTGTAAATTTTAATGTCTTAGAGTGGTTTCTGTAAGCAGCTGTGTCAGGGTGGATTAAGGATGGGCTTTTGTTCCAGGAGGATCGTCGGAGCAACGCGACCAAACGTTTAAAAAGCCAGAACCCGAAGAAAAGGTAGGCTGACACGATATTGTCGTATGGGATACCTAATTATCGATAGATAGTCAATGCTATACAATATTTTCTTTGAGGAGCCCTCATTTCATGCTGTTTTATGTTTGCTTCTACACACAGCTCCCAGGATATGTGCAAACGTGACCTACAAACACCTATTAGTGATGAGCTTTTAATGTTGTGGCATTAGGCATGTCCCGCTCTAGTGTGCAATGGAGGCTATCGAGCTTTCTCAACGTTGCGCTATGGACGGATTTTGAACACAAGTCTCATGGTCCGAATTGCATCGCAGGTGGTGGTGACGGCGATGTCCCCATGTCTCCCGTCAGGCCTACGCAGCTAACTGTACATCGTGTGCCCACAGACGTCGCCGCGCAAGGCCCGGCCTTCGGAGGCGGCCGAGCCGGACGGCGGCGCGTCGCCACCGGCGGCGCCGGCCGGCCGCCGCACGCGCCGCCACACCGCCTCCACAGACACGGACGGCGACGAGCCGGAGCCGCCGCCGCCGCCGCCGCGGCGGAGCCGGCGCGGCCCGCGGCCCTCCACTGACGACAGCGCCGCCGAGCGGCAGGACCCCCAGCCGGAGGAGGAGGCCGGCGGTCGGCCGGCGGCGGCCAGACGGACGCTGGCTGACGGAGGCGGCGGTGATGTGCAGGAGAAACCCGCTGCCGGCGAGACGGAGGAACGGGCGGAGAAGGGAAGGTGGAGGAGGCTGAACGGAAAAGGCGGGAAAGCAAGGAACAGGCAATGAACAGATAGAGAGCAAGGCGATGGAAAAGAAGCGGGAAGAACAGAGAAAGGAATGCGGAGCGAAATGAGAGCCAAGAGGAACGAGGAGAGGGAAGCAGAGAGAAGGGAGCGTAAATAAAGATGAGGACAAGAAGGAGGCGGAGGAGAAGGAACGGAAGAGAGAGGAGGAAAAGAAAGAGATGGAAAGACGAGAAAAGAAAGAGGCCGGGCGGAGGGAGGATGATAGAGAGGAAAGAGGTGGAAAGGCGTGAACGGAAGGAAGCCGAACGGAAAAGGGAACAGGAAAAAGAAGCGCGAAAAAAGGAAAAAGGAAGAGGCTGAGCACAGGCGAGAGGCGGAAAAGAAAGAGGCTGAAAGACGTGAAAGGAAGGAGGCGGAACGAAAGAAAGCAGTTATTGAAAGAGGCCTGAAAGGAAAGAAAGAAGAGCATATGAGCGGAAAAGAGAAGAAGAAAAGGATGCCGAGAGGAAATCGCGAAAGGAGGCCGAGCGGAAGAAGGAGGAGGAGCGAAAGGAAAGGAAAGAGGAACGTAGGAGAGAGGAAAGGAGAAAACAGAGAAAGAAAGGAGTCCGATCGCACTAAAGTGGATGAAAAGGACGTGAGAAGGACTGAGAGGAGGGAAAGGAAACACTCAGGAAAGCGAGATGCAGAGAAGAATGATGAGGCTAAAGAATCAGCTGATGATGGGGGAAAAGCTCGCTCCGGAGAGACGGGAAAAGTCTCCGAAAGCGAGGCAAAAAAGGAGGGGCCCTCCAAGAAAGACGAGGTACCGCAGAAAATTTCGCCCACTACGGTTGGAGGAGATGTGCAAACAAGTTAAGGAAAAGAAGTCGATAAACAAGGATGAGTCTGGCGTTACAGAGCCAGAAGTGACGGGAACAGACAGTACATCTGTCACCGTCGGACCATGACAGCCGCCGGAGAAAAGCCTGGGGAGGCGTCGGTCTGACCCCACAGCAGAAGGCTCAGCCCAGCGAAGCCCCCCGGCAAGGGAGACGAGGAGTCGCAGAAGAACAAGGAGTCTCAGAGGGACAAGGAGTCCCAGAAGGATAAGAAGTCTCTGAGCGATAAGGCTGAGGATGAACCCACAAAGGACAAGGAGTCCCAGAAGGACGAGGAGTCCCAGAAGGACGAGGAGTCCCAGAAGAGCAAGGCCGCTCACAAAGATCCCGAGAAGGAGAAGGAGTCTCAGAGGGAGCCACAGAAGGCGGCCGACGCCGGCGACGAGCGCAGGCGGGTCGCGCGCCGACTCTGCCGAGCGGCAGCGCCGGCGCCACCGGCGAGACTCGGAGGAGCGGCGTCGGCGCCGCTCGCGCGACAGCGGCGAGCGCGACTCGGCCGAGCGCGGCGGCCGCCACGAGCGGCGCCGACGCCGCTCGCGCGACGACGAGCGCGACCAGCGGCGCCGCCGCTCGGGCGACGAGGAGCGGCGCCGGCCGCACCGGCGCTCCGAGCCCCAGCGGCCCGCGCGCGGGCCGTGACGAGCCCCCGCGACGATGAGTGGCGCGAGAACGCCGACTTCTGGCGCGTCAAGCCGGCCGAGGTGGGTCGGGCGGGTCCGCTGGCGGGGGGTTTGTGCGATTTGTGGCCGCGGGTTGTGGGCTGTTAGCTGCAAACAATTCGCAAGGCATTCTGAGGTGGTATTTTGCCTTTGTGTAATTGGATCTGGCCCACTGAAACGGCATTTGTGAGTAATATCGTGATTTGTGGCGTCCCCGAAAGTCAGGTTGTCTTATTTGGCATTGTTTATCTGATCATTAGTGATGTAGTGTTTCTTCAAGTTTGATGTTAGACCTCCATATCCAGGTTTCTCTTGGGTATGGAGGTCTGACATCGAAGTGGTGAAGGAAACTACTATTTTGTAAGGCAAGTGTCTATTGTGCTTGCTGTGAACCATGGGCGTTTCTGGCAATGCATAATGCCCGTTGCCCCAGTTGAGCGGCGTTTTTAAAGCATGCGCGCCCACTTCGCTCACCCCTCACTGGCCTTCAGCAAGTACGGCTGCCATGTCAACACCCGGAGGACTTGGAGTCGAGCCCCCTCAGCTTGGAGTCGAGGCCCCTCTCTTCCATTCCCCTCCCTCACCACCGTAGTTGGATGGAGCCGGTGTCGACCGCTGTGTTGGCCCGTTTGCCACTGACGTCAGTTAATTTGTTTCTTCTTCAGGGCGAACGAGACCCCACCTCCAAGAAATCGGCGGACAAGCGTGACGCCAAAGACGAGGAAGATACTAAGTCCGACACCAAACGCACGAAAGATTCCGACGAGGGGCCAGTCAAAACAAGCCGGACAGAGCTTGACGAAGTACAACCTTTGAAGAAAGAGGAACGGCGCAAGATAAAACTGAAACGCAACACAAGTGCCGGAGAAAAACGGTGAGCTCCTTCGATCGCTGATTAATCGGTGACTTGGCGGTTCTTGAACACACGCTTGGGTGAGGGGGGAGGTCAAATTGACCCCCCCCCCCCGAGGTTTTCCCGGAATGGTTTCCGAACGGCGCGACGTAGCCGCGTCAAATTTTGTATAGCTGTAGACAATTGAATAGCGGACTGCGGTGCGCGCCCTTCCTGCCAGAGTGAGAGGCAGGCGACGCCACGTAGCCTCAGCAGCTGATTTTGTAAAGCCCCAATGGCACACAGTTGACTAGCGGATCATCTGACATCAAAAATTTAGATATACCTTGTAGGGTCACTGACCTATGGCAGGTCAAAAGCAGGCCATGGTTTCAGCAAAGGCACGTTCTAGGGAATCGTTCAATCCTATCAAACAACAGAGTGTTAGATGAAGCGATGCATCTCTGAGATACTTTCTTAGGCAACACAACAATTGCATAAAAAAACATTAACTTAGGTCAGGTATGAAGGTCAGACCGAGGTCAAAACCAACTTGTTTTATTACTCTTGGGCTTGCTGTATGGGTTGGCTTCTGGTGCTTATTTCGAATACATTGATAGCAGGAGCCGCATTATAAACCTTCCATAGACTTCTTACAGGTGAGAATAGGTCACTGCCTAAAATGACCTAGGTCAGCATTTGTTTTTTAGGAGCATACTGCCTAGCATTATCTTTGTTGCTTATCTAAATGCACAACTCAAAACAGTCGTAGATCGTTTTGGCCATCATGACCTTTAAAAGGTAAAACAAGGTCACTGACCTTAACCGAACGTGTGACATTTTGATTAGAACAGTTGCCTAGGTTTTTGGGGGCCCTTTGAAGACCAATCTGGAATTTGACCTTGGTTAACCCTATCTGACCCGAAAGTCATGACCTAGGAACTTCAAACTTTGACCTAAGTGAGTTCACGTACAGTTCAACACACCCTGTGAATTTTGTCTCTAGCTCTTTTAGTTCCCGAGATCCAGGGGGGAGGGGTCAAATTGACCCCCTCCACCCGAGCGAAGGGTATCCAACCGGCCACCCGGGCGCGTGTTAAAAGGTCAAACAATGTCATTGACCTTGACGGAGCGTGTGACATCTTTCTTAAAACAGTTGCATGGGTTCTATGGGCCGTTTGGAGACCAATCTGGGATTTGGTATAATTTGACCTTGTTTGACCCGAAGGTCATGGCCTAGAAACCTCAAAACTATGACCTAAGTGAGTTCCTGTACAGGTCAACACGCTCTGTGAATTTAGTGTCTCTAGCTCTCTTAGTTCCTGAGATCTCAGTGGGGGTCAAATTGACCCCTCATCCTCACCCGAGCGAATAGTATCCAACCGGCCACCCGCGCGCGTGTTAACCTTAGTTTTAACGAAACTTCAAACAGCCAGGTCCTTGCATTCGCCGCGGATCGCTACCTTCAGACAGACCCTGATTAGAGTGGCATTTCCGCTCTGCTATCATGGCCTGACCGCGGGGACTCCACCAGCTGCGGACGCGACGTGAACACGCATGTAACGCGCTTATCCCACGCACACGTGCTGATATTGGTGAGCGGCCGACGGGCTGCGACCGTGATCCACGCCATGCCGTCCTGTTCCAGGCCGGAGCCCACCGAGGCGGCGCCGGAGCCGGCTGGGGACGCTGCGACGGAGCGGCGCTCACCCAAGAAGGCCGGCCGCGCCAGGTACGGCGTCGCGCGCGCCATCCCCCCGCGCGGAGCGTGGCGCCCGGCACCAAGAGCGGCACCGTCACCGCGCTCCGCGTCGGCCTGTGCCGCCTCATCACTGAGCTGACACAAAGCTAGCCATCTGACTGGAATAGTATTTTTGAATTTGGCACTTTAAGACCGTGACGGCGGCGACATGTTTCGTTGGTCGGCGTAGCTTGCTGCTCCTCTGGGTGCATTTGCAGCTTTGACTTTATTGTATTTTTGAGGTATTGGTGTGCCCGCCATTAGGACCCCAGGTGCTCCTACCTGTGATTGCAGCCCATAGTGTTGACTTACAAGGATGTCAGACTGCTTACTGCAGTTTGCGCTCATGGTAACGTATTCATGTTGTGTCCGCTGTACGCACGTAACTTTACAAGAGCCCTGGTGGATGCCGACGGAGGTCGGAATCAGTCGTTTTCCGTTGTGTTCGCCCAGAGCGGGTGTATTGGTCTGGGTGGGGCCTTACAACAAATTATTGGCATCAGCGTCGTGCTCGCCCAGCCCGAGTGGTGGCGCGTGCCGCGGCCCGCTCTGGTCGTGCTGACCGGCCTGGGGCGCCGCCAGGTCGACCTCCAGCGACGGCGAGGCGGCTCCGGCGGGCCGACGCCGCCGCTCGCCCGTGCAGGCGCCGCCGGCCGCCGCGCCGCGCAGTCCCGAGGCAGCCGAGCCGGCAGCAGATCCGGAGTCGGAGCGGGAGCCCGAGCGGGAGCCGGAGCCGGCCGCCAGCAGTGCGCCGCCGGCCGCTGCCGACCCGCCTGCGCCCGCCTTCAGACGGCTCGGTGAGACTGCTTGGATGAGGCGCACGACGGTCGGCTCACCTGTAGCCTCCCTTAAAAAGACATTTAATGGTACATTTGCGGGATAATTTTTCGAGTTCTCTGTTTTTGTAGAATTTGTTCCACGAAGGGAAATGTGAGAATGACAACTGCAAATCACAAATTTACCAACCTACATGCAAATTTTAAAAATCGCCGGAGAACTTCTACGAACAACATTGTTTTGTTGTGAACGGCCTGCTCCCACTCCTGTGCCCCACCCCGGCGCCGCCTGTGCAGGAAAAGTAAGAAGTCTCCGTAGAGCTCAGTCCACGGGGCCCTTTCATCAGCGTGTCCGTTAGCACAACTGGATAAAAGGGAACTAGGGCAAAAACCAAAAATTCGGACCCAGCTCGAAACCTGGGGAATTTTTTCCCTCGGGGCTTTCACCAAACTGGGCGTCTCCGTCCCTCTCCCCTCCCTCATTCCCCCAAGATTACCAAAATTCCGGATGAGTATGGCTTTGGTTTGTCTGGCTTTCTGATTCCACACCGAGTTTTTTTTTTGATGACATGACATTTGTCGGCTTAAGAGGAAAGAACAGTTTTGCCCGTCAGTTTTGACAAAATGCAAATATATCATCGTCATCGCAAACATCCAGTTTGTAAAATGCACGGCGCGGAGCCAGGCGCGTTGTTTGCTAGGCCAGGGCTCCAGCGACGTCAAGCCAACGTTGGGCGAATGGGACGCCCGAAAGTGGGACGGTCACGCCTCTTATGTACCTTGGAAGCATCGCTGATTGCCGGCAACAAATTGCGCGGCGCCGAGTGTTACAACTGCGACTTTACAACGTGTGTGGCGTTCCTGGAACAGTTTAAAGTTGTGCTTTGCAAGCTCAATGACAACTTACAAACGCAAACGGTTTGTAACAAATCTTTGGAAGAAATGCCTCTGGCGTTGTGCTTTTCGCTGCGTCGTCACAGACACAATCACAAAGCGACGTAAGTTCTAACTTTTCGTAAATTCGATCCGCGGACGTGCTAGGCGCCAGCTGTCGTGGATGAACAAGACTTTCCTGGTCTTTTATTAAGTGTGGCGTAGTACCGAGACATTGGTGTGGCTTCGTCGCGAGCTTGAGCGTGGACGGAAGTGACCCGCACCGCGCGGGCGGCCGGCCTCTAGCCTGACGCGACCTGGCGCCGGCAGTGTCGCTGAGGCGGGACCGCAAGCGGCGCGAGGACAAGAATGACGCCGGCCCCGGCGAGAAGCGGCGCCGTCGCTGGGGCACGCAGCTCTCCGACGAGAAGAAGGTGGTCAGCATCTCGACCGACTCGCTCAAGGTGAGGCGCCGCGCCCCCTGTCCCCCGGCGCGATTCGGGAGATCTGGTGCCGCTTGCGGCGCTGCCTGTTGGCAAAGCTTCGGTCCGGCGCTGCTTCCGGCCGGCTGTCGTCTGTGTGGTGCTGGATGAAGCGCGGCGATTGGAGTTTTCTGTCGTGGCTTTGCTGGCTTTTGCTGTCGTGACGTTCAGTTGTCGGACGGAAAACTCCATCCAAGGGGCTCAGAAGTTCGGATTGTGTGCGTTGGACAATTTTGGACATTCATCAATACCACCAGATCCGTTCGGATTTTGTGATATTGATGAATGCAAATGTTCGACAGTAGTAAGTTGTCCAATTGTGATGGAACACGTTAGCGGAGAGGGCTGGTTGGCGAGCCGCCAATATGTAACTGGTTTGTGGAGGCCCCACGCGCGCTGACGGCCTGTGCGCCGCCCCCCGCCTCGTCAGGACCTGGTGCCGGACGTGAAGCCGCTGCCGGCGGACGACGTACGGCTGGAGCCGGACTCGTCGGAGGGCGAGGTGGACTCTGAGCCGGCGCCGGGGGCCGAGCGGGGCAGTCCGGCGCCGGCCGATGCCGCCGGCGCCCGCAGTCCGGCGGCGCCCGCCGAGAACGGCCGGCCGGTCACGCCGCCGCCGCAGGAGGAGGGCCCGGCGCCGCCGCCCCTTATCAAGCGCACCGTCACGCAGGTGAGGCGGCGCGGCGGTCCGGTGCCGGCCCGCCGGTCCGGCGATGTGGTCCAGGGCCCGGGCGTCACGGGGCCCGGGCCCGGGACGGTCACAGGGGTGGGGGCCGCCTCCGAACGCCCCCGGGCCCTCCATCTGGCAGTCAGCCACTATGCTGGGCTGGAAGACATTGCCGACGTGTGTGCTCAGGTCCAAATTGTCCCGTCGTCGTCATATTCGGCGTGTTGGAAGCGCTCGTCTTTTGTGGCCCGTCGGGCGATCCTGCGCTACGACGTTTGATTTGCTCCGTGTTCTCCACGCCACTTGTTGTCGTCTGCCCATGCCCGCACACGTGCTCTCGAGCTGCGTATTGATGTGGCGCTCAGCCCTCCGGTATCCACGCGTCGTGATGTTTGCGTGTGTTGGTGGGTGTGGCGTGAAGTCCCTCGGCGACCACCGGTCCGTCCCGCGGTCGGCGCCGGAGCCGACAGACCACCGCTGTGCTGTCTCCGCCAGGATGTGCGCGGCGGTGGAGGCGGCCGCGCGGAGCCGGCGCGGCGGCCGCGCATGGAGCGCCAGCCGTCGCCGGCCCGGCACAAGGCCTCCAGCGTCGTCCTCATCCGAAACCTGGTGCGGCCCTTCACCGTCAATCAGCTCAAGGAGCTGCTGGCCAGGACAGGCAAGATCACAGACTTCTGGATCGACAACATCAAGTCCAAGTGCTATTGCCAGGTGGGTGGGAGACGTGGGAGGTCTGGAACGGGCTTTTGTGGTACTTTTTAGCCAGTGTGATGTGGTTAAATACAGGCTTGTCCGTGCTTGTGGAATGGTGTCGGAACGTATAGGGCGTGAAGGCTGTGGTCTCATGCGATAGGAAATACCGCGGACTTCCCACGGTGTGGAGCTTGCGTTTATCGTTGTTCCACACCCAGTCATCGGCGGGTTGCTACTTGGCACAACAGGAGTGAATTTAATTGGAGAGACCAGCGCGTCAATACACACGGGGACTAGTCCTGGTAGAATTCAGGCTCCCTTTGATTACCGATTCACGATGTAGGCCATAGGTCTCACGAGCGCGGTGGCCCGAGTTTGGAGGCCGCTGAGCCCGGCGACTCGGGTTTGGAGACTGCTGAGCCAGGCGGTTCGAGTTTGGAGACCGCTGAGCCCGGCGCGCCCCCGCCCGCAGTACGAGACGGAGGCACAGTCGGTGGAGACCCGGACGGCGCTGCACGGCGTGCGCTGGCCGCCGTCCAACCCCAAGAAGCTGCTCGTCGACTACTCTACCGCCGACGAGTTGGACTTCCACAAGGCGCTAACCGAGCAGATCCCGCGCAAGACCGAGCCGCTCAAGGTCGACCCGTACTTCGCCACGCGCCAGCAGGAGGAGCAGCGCGCTGAGACGGCGCGCGAGAAGCGGGTTAGTGGCCGGGCCAGCGGCGCAAGCGAGGCGCTCGGTCGGCGGGGGCAGTCTCGGGCGTGGCGTGTGGGTCTCGGGCGTCGGCAGACGACTCCCAGCAGGCTCAGTGGTGGTAACTATGGTTCGTCGGTATGAGCTGTTGGACGTGGGCGGGCCGGCTGACTGGGAATCTCGCCGTTTTGTAAGTCAGCCCATACATGCTTTCTACTGTGACCGAGTTGTTTTGCGTTAACCATTTTCATTCCATGCAAGGCCCAAACCGAACCGAAGTAGTTAGTTTTTACGTCTAATTTTTCGTATGACATTTTACCTCGTGACGCCCGGTAGTTACGCTGCTCCTGGCCGCTAGTCATGTCAGCTGCAGATTGCTTATCTGCGCACCGCATGATACATGTTTTGCGTCAAGTCCCTCCCATACCGTACTTCACCCCGGTCCCCGCCATAGGTCCCCTCCCCAGGTCTGCTTCACGCAACGGTCAGGTCGACGGATGGAAGTGCAGGGCTAGTCTGTTGTCCGTAGTCCGCGCATCGCCTCGTCTCACCGCCCCCGCGACGGAGCGGGGGGGGGGGGGCGTCAGCGCGGCGCGCGGTTTTGACTGGCGTCTGGCGCTCTGGCCCGGCAGCGGGAGGTGGTGCGGGAGTGGGACCGCGTCAAGATCGGCGAGACCAGTCCCGGCGAGAAGGAGCGCGAGCGCGAGCAGCGGCGCCGCGAGCGCGAGGAGGAGGCCGAGCGCAAGAGGAGGCGGAGCAGAAGCGCCGACAAGGAGAAGGAAGAGAAAAAGGGTGGGTTGGTGACGGTGCTCGCCGCAGTTGGTCATGCGCGGGCGTCCGGTGTAGTGGAGTTGTCACTCACATCCACACGAGGAGCCGCCAAATCGACGTATGAACAGACACGTTAGCGTTGCACGATGTATTGATGGACAAGTTTGGAAGGTGGACAGAGTCTTTGTCGGGGAGGGGGACATTAGTGTGGTGACCGGCGAACAATGGAGTTGTGGTCCAATGTATCGAAATGTGCCCAGTTACGCCACATGTTGCATTGACTCAGGTCCGGTTGACACTTTCTTTCAACGGCTCTAGGACGCGACAACGGTTGGGACATGCTGAGTCGTGGAGGCCCTCAGCAGTGTCATATGCAACGACGTGGCTCGGTTCCTAACTGCTGATCTCTCCGGCTCCCACAGAGAAGCGGCAGAAGGAGGAGGCGCCGGCCAAGCTGCTGGACGACCTGTTCCGCAAGACCAAGGCGACGCCGTGCATCTACTGGCTGCCGCTGACGGCCGAGCAGATTGCCGACAAGGAGCGCCAGCGCCGGCTGCGCATGGCCGAACGCCAGAAGCGGCTGGACGCCATCCAGGCGGCGTCGGCGGCGTCGGCTCCGCGCCGCAGCCGCAGCCGCAGCCGGTCCGGCTCGCGCGAGCGGCGCCGCCGCTAGCCGCAGGCCGGACGGGTCTGCCGTGGACCGTCTGAGCACGCGGCCCAGGATCGACCGGCGCGACGCCCGATAGGAGGCCCCAGCACGCCAGTCGCCGCCCACCGCACTGTAATTCCTGGTTCATTTTATTAGTCTAGCCTCCGCGCCTAAGCACGTGCGCGCGTGAGTGTGTGCGTGTGTGTGTTCAGACGATCGTTCCCGAGCAGGTGAGTACGTCTTAGTTTGACGCCGTTCGCCGCCGGCCGCCGGGGCGGCCGGCTCGGCGGGCGCCTGACCGTGAACCATTTTCAGGGCCGGACGGCGGCGCGATGCAGGTGAGTCTCCGCTGAATGACCGCTGATGTCCCGTTCTCCGCCAGTAGGTGGCGGCCTAGCGGGGTGAGAGCGGCCCGGGCGAGAGCGGCCAGTGCGCGCGCGTGACATGTTGTGGCCGGCGGGCGGTTGTGGCGACGCGCGGAGCGAGAGGACAGGGGCGCGGCCGGCCGCGGATGGCCACGGCGGCCCGGCCGCGCCTGGCCGGGCCGCCGCCGGTGGCCGGCCGGCCGCGCCGGACACGACGCCTGCGGGCGCGAGCAGCGCAGAGTGACCGCCGCGAGGCCGGAGCCGGAGCCCGACGGCGGCGCCTCGCCTCTGCCGCGGCGCCGTCGACGTCCAGCCGCCAAGGACGGCGGCGTCGCGCCCTCCTTCGAAGCGGTGCTGCACCGCGGCCTCCCCGGACGGGGACGCCGCATCCAGCAAGACTCGCCAGCACCAATCGTCCCGTGGTCGATCTATTTACATGGAAATAAACGTCATAGTTCAACGACAATACATTGTCCGTACACGGTTCGCGGGTGAGGCTCCAGAAAAACCTATAAATGGGGTGGATTCACACGTCAGTGGTGGGTTCACAGAGGGTTGCCTGTGCATCGCGCAGTCGGACCAGGCCCCGGTCACTATTGGAATAGTTGTTGCGGCAGTGGTGCATACTGCTCGCTCCCGCACCCCGCTGTCTGATGCATTCGCGTCCGCTGCATTGCTGTCCGAGGGATGTCGGCTAACTAGGAATCACCTGAAAAGGAGAGCCACAAGTCAGCGGCCATGGGGAGCGGGGCGTCGCTGTTGGAACGAGGCTCACGTGTGTTGCCGTTGGGATTAAATGACTGGCTGGCTTTTGGTGGGGAATTGCGGCCTTTGGGTCCACATCTGAGAGACTTTGTTGATTACAGTTTACGGGCGCACCGACTGCGGTGGTCATTTGCTTCCGGGTACACGAGACTCAGATGTCCTCATCTGGGGACTAGGGCATCTGGGTCTCGTGTGCTCGGAAGCACGTGATGTGTGTGTATGGATACATCACGGTCGCTCCGCGGGCTCGAGGCATTCTAAATGTTTGTAATCACAGCGATAGTGACCAATGGCTAAGAAATGAACCGGCGCAACGCTCTGCACGCATTTCATGACATGCGTGCCTCTGGCTTACCTAGATCAGTTCTTCTTGTACTTGTCCGTGAACTCCTTGACCTTGTCCCACAGTTCGGTGGGGTCGTCCACCCGGGGTATCTGCAATCGGGACACAGACTGTGGGGGCATGCCTCCTTAAAAGGTGGCATGATCTGTGAAAATCTGTGAAAGTTGGCTGGTAAACTGGAGGTAGAAAATGCGACCAGCCCCAAAATGTGCGAAGTAAAGCAATCGCCGGTATCGGGCATTAAGTGGACGATTGTAAGCAACATTGCATCAAATGAGTGGTTCGGCGCGGCGTGCGTTAAAGTAGACACACGCAGTTTTTTTTTTTTTGTAACGTCCCCATACAGTTTCCACCAAAAAGCAGTGGTACCGCCAGCGACGGGGATTCGGGATTGGCGGAGGTTACGCCGCGGTAGATAATGCGCGATTGGCCAGAGCAATCCTAGCCCCACGCACCGCATAGTTTTGGCAGACGTAGACGCCCGCGTACATGCCGGCACCGAAGGACAACTGGAAACAGAGCGCGGTCGGTTAGCTAAGCTTGCCGCCGCCGACGCGAATTGTCACGCAATGGGCGGACATGGGAACAATGCGCAGCAAGGAGCACTGAAATGCTAGGTTTGTCGCAGTGAACACCGGTTGGTGGGCAGTTTTCGAATGAAATAGGCGTCCTCCGTGTTATCCGTACGGGTAACGGTACAGTAGGCTGTGAATAATCACTGCTCATTCTTTCGGACTGGGAGGGAGAGGTCAACGCAACAGCTCCCAGAATGCGCATGTATGGACGCCAAGGCATTACTGCGAACCCGCCGGGTTACCAGAAAATGGGAGCTCAACGATTACGGGCAATTCAGCACAAAGCCGGACCAAACCAATGCGCGTCTACTCAGTGGCAGATTGCTTGGATCGAAAGGTCAAACACGCCAAGGCTAACAGTGCTCTACGGGGAAGCGGCTCGCCGTACAGGGACTATTTCGGGCCCAATGGTCAGCATCAAGCTCGAGCACATGGTACCACAACACATGGAGCCACTACGAAGACGGTGATTCGCAGCGCAGCCGTAACGTAACGTGACACCACGGGCGCCTCGGATACGTGACACACATTCCTGTCACACCAGGACGACACAAGACGACGCCGACAGCAGTGCGGCCTCCTGACACCAGCCGACAATAGATCGAGTCGTTACACCGCTCAGCGATGTGCGTCTCCGCCCCGACAATGTTCACAGCGCGACGATGGCGGCAGAGGAAGAGAAAATGGCTTCTTACTGCGCCACCTACTAATAAATGGGCGGCAATGAAGCCGACCATGACCAGGTCGTACAGGAGGACGAGCATCCTGCCACGGCCAGGTCACCGTCCGTCCATGGTCTCGACGGGTCAGCACGGGTCAGCACGGGTCACCGGCGATCAGCGGTCGCTCCGCTGTGCGCTCGCGCCGGGAGACCGTCACAAAGCCGCGCGCCACAGTGGGCGGCAGCCGTTCTGACCCCGCAAATAGCCCGGCCGTCGGGCCACGCTGCCAGAAATGCCCGCCGACGGCGCCCGCCGTCGGAGGGCGCTTCCGGCACCGCGAGTGTCTGGGGCTCGGTAATGAACCGGCGGACGACGTCCGGGGCTCGGTCCTGAACCGGCAGACGGCGTCCTGGGCTCGGCGCTAAATCGGCACACGGCGTTCGAGGCTCGGTACCGAACTGGCAGACGACGTCCGGGGCTCGGCACTGAACCGAATGACGGCGTCCGGGGCTAAGTAATGAACCGGAAGACGGCTCGGTACTGAACTGGCAAAGTCCAAGGTTCGGTACTGAACCGGCAGACGACGTCCGAAGCCAGGTACTGAACCGACAGACGGCGTCCGGGGCTCGGTACTGAACTGGCAGACGGCGTGTGGGGCTCGATGTTGAACCGGCAGACGGCGTTTGGGGCTCGGTGTTGAACCAGCAGACGGCGTCTGGGGCTAGGGACTGAGCCGGCAGACGGCGACCGGCGCCTTCCTTGAACTTGGTCTCCTGTTTCTTGTCCCTTTCCACCTCTTCTCTCTTTAGGCTGACCATCTCCTTAAACGACGTGGAGGATGCGCTTTTGCTAGCATTCTTCAGCGCCAGGGTCCTCTTGAGAATGAACGATTCGCTTGCCCTCGATCACTTCTGCAGTTGGTGCACCCGTGGGTCAATCCTGCCCACGAATTGCTCCACGTCCGTGTTGTGCACGATCGCATCGTTTGGCATGTTGACCTGCTTCCCAACCGAGATCTCAATGGGGAACGCCTCCTCGTCCAGCCTGTATTCTCGTCTCCATTTCGCCAGGGTGACGCCCAACTCCGACAGGACCGTAATAATCAGAAGCATTCCTCCGGCTCAAGAGCTATTGACACCACGGACTGCTGCACAGCTCGTCTGTAGCTTTCCTTCACAGCGCTGAAGAGGTTCTACGATACATCATGCAAGAACGTCTCATCCAGCAGGATGCAGGAGCCGTCCACGCCGCTGTTCCTCAGGCTCGTGTAAGGTCTTCATCTCTGTGCACATCGCCCCAAGAGCGATCGTGCAAAGAACGGCTAGATGCGTGTCGAGCAGGGCAAACGCCGCACACGCCGAACTCAAGTCCGGCAGATTGGGCAGCGTATCAGTATCACTGGGGCTTTACGACGCACTCAGCTGCTGAGGCTACATGGCGTCAACTGCCTCTCACTCTAGCAGGAAGGGCGGGAATCGCAGGGAATCGAACCCTGTACCTCTGGTTTCCCAGACGTGCAGTGGTTAACGCAGACGCCGTAACCATTACATTACCGGCACCCTGATTGAGCAGCTTCATCACCAGGCCACTGTTGTGCCAAAGGCGATCTACCTGAGCCGAAAGGCCGATGAAAGATCGCGGATTACCGGATGTTTGGGGACAGGCTCAGAGAACTGGTGGAGCGCGACACCGCAAAAACTGCCTGTCTGACAGATAAGGTGGATTCCAGTTGCCTGAATTGTATGCTACCGTGGATATCTCAGACCTTGGTGGATTTAGTCAACCCGGCACCACTTGAGAAATCCCCTGTGCCGCCACTTGGGTAGTTAAAAGAACACTCCTGTTGCTCGGGACCTTATTGTCGCACTCCACATGTTCCAACATCATTCGATATTCTGACTTTTTCATCATTGTAGCACTGTGCTGACACCGGTCATATGCCTGAAAACGACGTCACAGGTCAGTTGACACCCAGCAAAGTTCAAGAAGATTGCTGGAAACTTAATATGTGGTAGACACCAGTTTCGAGGTGGGAGGGGTAATTTCGGAAAACGGGACAATGTTCCTGTAAAAGTTTCTTATTTTGGTCAAGGACGGAGGTTCGCAGATCCATTTTTCGACTTTCGATGGTTGTAGATTTTAACATAAAGGCTACCAACCGGTAGTGCCTGTGGTCTACAAGTGAAACCGCAGATGGAAGTCAGAACTCAATATTGGGGCGACACATGACGTCCAGAACTGACTGCTGATTTCGTATACGGCGTCCAAATGTTCGATACAGAAGCAGCAGATGGCGTCAGGAACTGAGGAGCGAACTAGCAGACGGCGTCCAGGGTTCGACACAGAAACAGCAGAAGGTGCCAGGAACTGACTACCGATCCAGCAGATGGCGTCCAATGTTTGGCACAGAAACAGCAGAAGGCGCCAGGAACTGAGGACCGAGGCGGGAAAGATGTGCCCGCGCTGGTTGACAATATTAAATTACTGTACCACAAAAACGGTCGATTTTGTTCAGCTATATTGAGTGGGTGAGAAAACCCATTAAAATAAGTTTTGCTTGTCTGCTTGCTTGCTTGGTGGAATGGAATTCATGAATTTCTGATGATCATAAAGCAACATGCTGAGCAATTGCTCAATATAATTAATAAGTGATTTAACAGCACATAGGCTGTTAAGAATGCAAGAAATGATAAATTTATGTTTACCACCATACACTACATGTAATAGAATATGTCTGATGCTTAAGGAATCAACTTTCCCAGCAAACACAATTTGGTGCAGGGACAATCTGACAAGGAAGTTTGTGACATGGATGAATGTCCAAGGGAGGAATATAACCTCATATTTACATTTATATGGTGCTTAATATAAATCAGTTATATGGGTCATCACATAGCCCACGCACCGCACCAGGTGGACAGGACTGGTGCCGCACCAACTTCCCGGGCTTCTGGAAGATGCACGTAGCCAGGAACAGCCTCGACATGTCGCCGACCGAGAATCTCTGGGCGATTGCCAAGGAGGAGCTCAGCAAGATGTTGCTGGCCGCTTCAGAGAACACCCTGTTCCAAAACGTGCAAGCGGCGTGGCGGAGCGTCAGTGACAGTACATACACATACACTCTCGACAACCTGATGCC